TATTAACTTTGACCTCTAGAGCGTCCACAAGATTTTTGAAGTGATCAAGGGCCATAACTCTGGCAGTAATTATTGGAAATCGCTGAAAATCAATAGGCTTCTTCGTCTCATGACCTTAAACACTGTGTATAAATATAAAGTCAATCGGACATTAACTGTAGCCTCTAGATTTCAATGTGGGCATATAAAAAGACAGGTTGACAGGCAACAAAACATACGCCAACAGCAGCTTAATCGCCTGAGCGGTCGGCAAGGGTTGTCGCATATTTATTCCTTTGAAGGTAATTGCGGGCCTTTACAAGACAGTTCCATACAGATCAGATTATAAATTTTGTCGTTTGAGGGTTTACAAGGTTCTACAAACTGAAACAAGAGTCTTAACTCTGGAAGTAATCTACAGAAATTGTTGAAATTTGACAGGATTTTTCATTTTACTAATTTATAGGGTGACCCACCATAAAAAAATATCTCCATATATCTCGACAATTTCGCCACAATATTTATATATATGCCAAGCCTCAAATCAGTTTCACACAATTACAGTCACTAAATAAACGATCATGTTGTACTTAATAAGCTATGACCATTAATCATCTATAAATAATAGACTGAAAACTGGTTCCATGTGTCGTCCATAACATCCAGACACTTTTGAGTAAAAGATAGGTTACGTGCCCTTGTTTTGAAATTAGTCTCGCTTAACCAGTCTATCGACCATTCTAGGGCTGATTGACAGGTCGGGATAATCAAGACTACTTTTTTACGAAACATCACAGAAAGCTAGAACAAGAAATTGAATTTAGAAATGAGCACGTTAGCTAGCTCAACAATTGTTTTAAGAAGCTTGTAAAAGTTAAATGAAACTACTGCTAGTATCATGTTCCTGCTAAAGAAAGTGATTCAGAGATAGTATTTGTACTAAACCAAAATATGCCGCTCTGAACGGTACAGTTAATGACAAAGCGATTTAAAAAATGAAACGAACGTAATTTCTAGATCTGCTGTAATAACCAAGAAGCTTAATTTTACTGCTATTCAAAATCGTCAACAATAAATTTTTACGGCTGTAATAGTTGATAGATTTGTAGAGAATTGCACGTGCCATGGCTATTTATAGTATCATACTGTCAGAAAGTTGGCCTCGACACGGCGAATGTGCACGCTTCAGTGGTAGTCTCGAACTATCAGCGGTTGACTGTATTTCTGTAGGTGCATGGGTCACCCTATAATTTACTAATACAGATCACATGATCACTTTTGTCATTCAAACGTTCACAATCGCCATAACTCTAGAAATTATTGACGGAAATTGCTGAAATTCAATAGACCCCTGTTTCACAAATTTAAATGATGCATATAAAAATTTCATACATATCAGATGATAACTTTCATCAATTGAGCATTAACAAGGTTTAACAAAGTGAAATAAGTGCCATAACTCTAGAAGTAATTATTGTAAATTGCTGAAATTCAATAGGCTTTGTGGTTTCACTAATTTAAATAATGCATATAAATTTCACAAAGATCCGATGATAACTATCGGCTTTGGAGCGTTCACAAGGTTCAATAAACTGAAAAGAGCCATAATAATAGACATAATAAACGAAAATTGTTGAAATTCAATAGGATTCTTCTCTTGACTAATTTAAATGACACATGTAAATATCATACAGATTGACAGAGCGTTCCCGTGGTGCAACAAAGTGAAACACGGGCCATAACTCTAGAAGTAATTGACGGAAATTGCTGAAATTCAATAGGCTTCTTCTTTTCACTAATTTAAATCATGCATATAAAATTCACAAAGATCGGGTGATAACATTTGGTGCTAGAGCGTTCACAAGGTTCAATAAAGTAAAGCAAGGGCCATAACTCTTAGATGTAATAAACGGAAATTGTTAAAATTCAATAGGATTCTTTGTTTCACTAATCTAAATAATGCAGATAAATATCAGAAAGATCGGATGAAAACTTTTGGCGTTAGAGCGTTCCCATGGTGCAACAAAGTGAAACAAGGGGCATAACTCTAGAAGTAATAAACGGAAATTGCTAAAATTCAATAGGCTTCTTCGTTTCACAAATTTAAATCATGCATAAAAATTTCACAAAGACTGGGTGATAACTTTTGGTGTTGGTGCGTTCACAAGGTTCAATAAAGTGAAACAAGGGCCATAACTCTAGACGTAATTAACGGAAATTGCTGAAATTCAATAGGCTTTTCGTCTCACTAATCAAAATAATGCATATAATTTTCAGAAAGATTGAATGATAACTTTTGACGTTAGAGCGTTCACAAGTTTCAATAAAGTGAAACAAGGGCCATAACTCTAGATGTAGTAAATCGTTTCACTAATTCTAGACGTAATAAACGGAAATTGTTGAAATTCAATAGGCTTCTTCGTTTCACTAACTTAAATATTGCATATAAATTTCACAAAGATGATGTTAACTTTTGGCATTAGAGCGTTCACAAGTTTCAACAAAGTGAAACAAGGGCCAAGAAATTGTGGACAATGGGCGGACGGACGGATGGACAGATGGATGGGGGCGACAGCGAGGCTGATGTCCTCCGCCATTCCCAAAATAAATAGATGACACATATTAATTAATCGCACATTTATTTTTTTCAAAAGTATTGAGCAATCAAACTATATACTAAGTTTCATCTTGTCCCAAAGCAATGACCAGAGAAATTGCTTATAGTCCGATACGGTTTGTTACATAATTCCGATCTGTCGGCTTTTCGGGTAGAAACCATGGAATAAGCTTTATTTTGAAGGTTTAATGACAACCAGCGGCTGCCAGGCAGGATACGCCCACATTTTGTAAGAGACGCATAGAGAACAAGCTAAACAAAAAGCAATTTTTCGTACAATCAGGGGCCATAATTCAGAAAGTTGCGATCCGATATGCGCAAATATCAAAAGGAACCAAGATCTTTGGGTTATAAACTTACATTTCAGGAAATTACAATTCGATATGCGCATATATCGAAAGGAACTGAGATCTTTGTGTTATAAACTTACATTTCAAGTTTCAACAAAATCGGATAAAAATTGTGACCCCTATAGGGTCCACAATCTTGATATACCATATTTTTACGCTATTTGAGAACGATGGGCGGCCTTTTGTCAGTCAGTTTTGGTCCGATTCAGGAAGTTACTATCCGATATGTGCGAATATCGAAAGGAACCAAGATTTCAAGTTTCACCAAAATCAAAAGAAATTTGTGACCTCTAGAGGGTCCACAACATTGATAAACCATATTTTTACGCTATTTGACTACGAGGCGCGGCCATTTTGTCTGTCAGCTTTGGTTTGATTTTTATGAAATTCGAACTCAGCCATCCTTAGGATGTAACGGTGAAAAATCTCATGTCTGTTTTTAGGTCTTACCTGGCTAGTCTAAAGGTGTTTTTACAGTCCAAATGCTGAGGTACATGTACCAAACTATCAGAATGAACTAATATTTCAAACAAGCAGTTACCATGGAAAATATGCCCACATTTTGCAAGAGATGGAGAACAGGGGAAATCAATAGAGCTCACCCTCTCATTGTACCAATGCTCCACTTCAAATTTGAACCAGCTGTTTCTAGGCAAGATACGCCCACATTTTGCAAGAGATGGATTGAGAACAAGCTAAAAACGCAAGTGATATTTCGTACAATCAAGGGCCATAATAAAGATGCATTTCAAGTTTCATCAAAATCGGATCAAAATTGTGGCCTCTAGAGGGTCCACAACCTTGAAATACCATATATTTACACTATTTGTGTACAAGGGGTGGCCATTTTGTCTGACAATTTTGGTCCGATTTTCACGAAATTCGAACTCAGTCATCACTAGGGTGTAACAGTGATATATTCATATGGTTTTTTTTTAATCGGATAAAAATAGTTACCTCTTGAGTGTCTACAAGCTAAAAACGTGATTCTTCGTAAATCAAGAGCCATAATTCAGGAATTTACAATCCAATATGCGCAAATTTTAAAAGGAATGAACATCTTTGGGTTATAAGCATGTATTTCAAGTTTCATAAAAATTGGATAAAAATTATGACATCAAGTGAGTTCACAACCTTGATATACCATATTTTTTACACTACATGTATTTGCGCATGAGGGCGGCCATTTTGTCTGGCAGTTTTGGTCCGATTTTCACGAAATTCAAACTCAAGCGTCATTACAGTGTAACAGTGATATATACAAACATTTTTTTTTTAATCGGATAATATTTGGGGCCTTAAGTGCGACCAAAAGCTCAAAACGCATTTTTTCGCACAATCACTATCAGGGGCCATAATTCAGGAAGTTACGATCCAATACGCTCAAATAATGAAAGGAAGCAAGATCTTTGGGTTATAAACATGAATTTCAAGATTCATCAAATTCAGATGAAAATTGTGACCTATAGATTGTCCACAAGCTAAAAACATGATTTTTGGTACAATCGGGGGCCAAAATCCATGAAATTATGGTCCGATATATGGAAATATCGAAAGGAACCGAGATATTTGGTAGAAAGACCTATATTTTAATTTTCGTCAAAATGGAATAAAAATTTTGACCTGTAGAGTGTCCACAAACAAATTGTGGATGAATGTTCGGACGGACGGACAGGGTGACGACAATATACGTCCACATGAAAATGTGGGCGTATAAAAATTGTGTCCTCATCAAAAAAACAACAATTTTTTGTACAATTGGGGGCTAGGAAGTTAAGGCCCGATATGCACCAATATTGAAAGCAACCGAGATCATTGGAATATAAACATATTTTAAGTGACCTCAAAATCGGATAAAAATTGTAACATCTAGAGGGTCCACAACCTCGGTATTACATGCTTTTACAACATTTCCGCAAAGGGGAGTGGCCATTTTGTCGACCAGTTTTTCTAAATCTCACTTCAGTTGTCAGGGTTTGTAGATCCTTTATTTTACATGTCAACATTCATAAAATTTCCAGTTACCCAAAGGAACATAGTTTGACTGTACTTACCAATGGGCAGCAAAAGGCCTACATAGATCTAAATTAAATGGCAGGCTTTTAAGTTCTCTTAAACGAACAGAAGCTTCAATATAAACAAAGAGTAACCATAGGGAGACCGTCGGAAGACATATACCCCTTTCTGTAAAAAAAAAAGATAGGTTGCCAGGCAACGAAACATACACCCACAGCAGCTAAATCGTCAGGGCAGTCAACAAGAGATGTCACATATTTTTACTTTTTTCGGTAATGAAACATTTATAATACATTAAAATCAGATTAAGAGTAACAACTCATTAAGTAATTATCAGAAAACCATTAGAATTTGTTTGGTTTTTATAAAGTTTTGCCCCATGCCAACGTTTAGTATAGGAAACTTTTAACATTATGGATTTAGATGTTCAAGTCATAAAAATTCATTGAAAATCATTTTACTTGTTCGTCTCTGAAGTCAATCGGATGATAACTTTAGCTTCTAGAGGGTCAAAAGATTTTTCAAAGTGATCAAGGGCCGTAACTTTGGCAGTAATTATCGGAAATCGTTGAAAATCAATATGATTCTTCATCTCATGACCTCAAACACTCTGTATCAATTTAAAGTCAATCGGATATTAACTTTAGCCTCTAGAGCATTTACAAGATTTTTTGAAGTGATCAAGGGCCATAACTCTGGCAGTAATTATCGAAAATCGCTGAAAATGAATAAACTTTTTTGTCTCATGACCTTAAACACTGTGTATAAATTTAAAGTCAGTCGGATATTAACTTTGGCCTCTAGAGCGCCCACAAGATTTTTTAAAGTGATCAAGGGCCATAACTCTGGCAGTAATTATCGAAAATTGCTGAAAATGAATAGACTTCTTCGTCTCATGACCTTAAACACTGTGTATAAATTTAAAGTCAATGGGATATTAACTTTAGCCTCTAGAGTGTCCACAAGATTTTTCAAAGTAATTAAGGGCCATAACTCTGGCAGTAATTATCGGAAATCGCTGAAAATCAATAGGCTTCTTCATCTCATGACCTTAAACACTGTGTATAAATTTAAAGTCAATCGGATATTAACTTTAGCCTCTAGAGCGTCCACAAGCAATTGTGGACGCCGGATCAACGGACGGACGGGGCCTATGACAATATACGACCACATTTCAATGTGGGCGTATAAAAACCAGCGGCTGCCAGGCAGGATACGCCCACATTTTGCAAGACATCGATAGAGAACAAGCTAAAAACAAACATGATTTTTTGTACAATCAGGGGAAATAATCCAGAAAGTTATGGTCTGAAATGGGCAAATATCAAAAGGGACTAAGATCTTTGAGACATAAAGATATGTTTTAAGTTTCATCAAAGTGAGATAAAAATTTTGACTTCTAGAGGGTCCACAAGCTTCATATTACATACTATTACACAATTTGCGTACAAAGAGCAGCCATTTTGTTGGGCAGTTTCATTTCAATTTTCCCGAAATTCGAATTCAACCTTCATTATGGTGGAATGATGATATATTTAAATGGATTTTAAAATCTGAAAAAAAATTATGACCTCTAGAGAATCCGAAAGCTAAAAATGCGATTTCCAAACAATCAGGGGCCATAATCCAGGAAGTTACATTCGGATATGCGCGATTATCAAAAAGAACAAAGATCTTAGTGTGTAATGGTGATATATTCAAACGTTTTTTTTTAAAATCGGATAAAATTGTGACCTCTAAAGGACCACAAGCTAAAAACAGAAAGTTACAATCCGATATGGGCGAATATCGATAAGAACCAAGATTTTTGGGTTGTAAACATGCATTTTAAGTTTCATCAAAATCGGATCAAAATTGTGACCTCTGGAGGGTCCACAACCTTGATATACCAGATGTTTACACTATTTGCCTACGTGTGTGGGTGTGTGTGTGTGTGTGTGTGTGTGTGTGGGGGGGGCGTCCATTTTGTCTGGCAGTTTTGGTGCGATTTCCACGAAATTCGAACTCAACCAACAATATGGTATACGGTGATATATTCAAACGTTTTTTTAAATCAGATAAAATTGTGACCACTAGAGGGACAACAAGATAAAAACGCAATTTTCCGTACAATCAGGGGCCATAATTCAGGTAGATACAATTCGATATGATCTTTGGGTTATAAACATGCATTTCAAGTTTCATAAAAATCGGGTGAAAATTGTGACTACTAGAGAGTCCACAACCTTGATATACTATATTTTACACTATTGGCAGTTTTGAAATTCGAACTCAACCATCATTAGGGTGTAACGGTGATATATTCAAACGGCTTTTTAAATTGGATAAAAATTGTTACCTCTAGAGGGACCACAAGTTTAAAACGTGATTTTTCATACAATCAAGGGCCATAATTCAGAAAGTTAAGATCCAATATGTGCGAATATCCAAAAAAACCAAGATTTTTGTGATATAAGCATAAATTTATGGTTGCATCAAAGTCGAAAAAAACTGTGGCCTCTAGAGGGTCTAAAACCTTGACATACCACATATTTACAGCATTTGCGTTAAACAAGGGGAGGCCATTTTGTCCATCTGTTTTGGTCCGATTTTCAAGAAATTCGAACTCAACCATCATTATGGTGTAACGATGATATATTTACGGTGTAACGTTTTTTTTAAATCGGGACAATAATTGTGACCTCTAGAGGGGCCACAAGTTAAAAATGTGATTTTTCGTACAGTCAAGGGCCATAATTCAGGAAGTTACGATCCGATATGCACAAATATCGAAAGGAACCATGATCTTTGGGTTATACACATGTTTGTCAAGTTTCATCAAAATCGAATAGAGGGACCACAAGCTAAAAACGTGATTTTCCGTACAGTCAAGGGCCATAATACAGGAAGTTACAGTCCGATACATGCCAATATCGAAAGGAACCAAGATCTTAGGGAGATAAACCTATATTTCAAGTTTTGTTGAAATCGGATAAAAATTGTGACCTGTAGAGTGTCCACAAAAAATTGTGGACTGAAGATGGACGGACGTCCGGATGGATAGAGGCGACGACAATATACGTCCACATGAAAATGTGGGTGTATAAAAATGGTCTAAGCTTATGCAAATATACATTTTTTTTTAACATGCATCAAATATTATTCATTGGTTTATTTAGCATTGTAAAAACTTACTAAACATATAGATTTCATAGGCGCTCATGTTCTTCAAAAGAAAAAGGAATCAAAACCTGAGTATTTATGAGGGAAAAATAAGCAGGAACTAATTAAACTGTTCAAATATTACGTTCACAAGGATGATGGTTTCAGTTCAGAAATGTAATAGCAAATTAAAACTAGAACTGCGATGCAGTAATGATGGGTTTCACAGGTGCCACTTTACCCTTGAACTTATGTCCCTTCCAATGTCACGTTACCCTTGAACTTATGTCACTTCCGATACCAATGAAACCGTTCCAACAGTACACGTGTTATAAAATGGACGCAGAATCAACCAAATCCAGCAATATCAATTCCATTAATACATTTGTTACCATGACAAAATTGGTTATTTCAAGGTAACGGAAGAGGTTAGAAGCAATAATTTGTTATCTATAGCATCGTATTAAATCATTCTATATGTTGGATGCAATTAAATATCATAATTTAAATTACCAGCGGCTGCCAGGCAGGATACACCCACATTTTCGAGAGATGGATAGAGAACAAGCTAACAAGAAAGTGATTTTTCCTACAATCAAGGGCCATAATTCAGGAAATTACAATTCGATATGCGCATATATCGAAAGGAACTGAGATCTTTGTGTTATAAACTTACATTTCAAGTTTCAACAAAATCGGATAAAAATTGTGACCCCTATAGGGTCCACAACCTTGATATACCATATTCTTACGCTATTTGGGAACGAACGGCGGCCATTTTGTCTGTCAATTTTGGGCCGATTTTCACGATATTCTAACTCAGTCATCCTTAGGGTGTAACGGTGATATAATAGAACGTTTTTTTAAATCGGATAAAAATTATGACTTCTATAGGGTTTCACAAAATTCAAACTCAACTGTCCTTAGGGTGGAACGGTAATATAATAATACGGTTTTTTAAATCGGATAAAAATTATGACCTCTAATGGGTCCACAAGCTAAAAACATGATTTTTCGTACAATCAGGGGCCATAATTCAGGAAGTTACGGTCCGATATGGGCAAATATCTAAAGGAATCGAGATCTTTGGGTTATAGACTTACATTTCAAGTTTCAACAAAATCGGATAAAAATTGTGACCTCTATAGGGTCGACCACCTTGATATACCATATTTTTACACTATTTGAGAACAAAGGGTGGCCATTTTGTCTGTCAGTTTTGGGCCAATTTTCACGAAATTCGAACTCAGTCATCCTTAGGGTGTAATGGTGATATAATAATACTTTTTTTTAAACCGGATAAAAATTATGCCCTCTATAGGGTTCCACAAGCTAAAAACGCGATTTTTCGTACAATCAGGGGCCATAATTCAGGAAGTTACGTTCCGACAGTGATTGAAATAACTTTCAAACTTAACCTGCCAGTCGGGCAGGTGACCCATAAAAGTTGCCTGCCCATCTAGAATGTTGCCTGCCCACATTTTGTAACATATTTTACAAAAAACGAACTAGAATAATGCATCACTGTTTCAAACGTTATTTATTCAGCCAGGCTCTAACTAAGAGATTACATATCAATCATATCACGAAAGGGCCACGTTTGTATCAGTCATACGATGCGGGAATGTTTGCTTGGGGTATGCCTAGTGGCCCGTAACACGATCTGCATATCCGACAAAACAAAGATTCTTGGTAATCAGCCACGGAAATTCGATCTGCCACTTAATCTGATACTTTTTATTTCTTTTATTTTTTTCATATTCTTTATCTTTTAACTTTGAGTTTGATAAAAAAAAAATCCCCTAAAAATCTTTAATTGTGACATTCTAATAACCTGAATAAGTATTTATGACGCCATTTTGTTCGATAACTTAAACGGGATTGTAACACTAACTTTGATTGGTCTTTATTGGTCCATGTTACTAAATATGGCCATTCACGGCACAGATAACTTAAATTTAGGCAGATACACTAGAGCAATTTCCTTATCTTCAGCCTGACAACTATGGAGCGGAATTTCCCCCATA